ACTGTGGCTGGTATGTAAAATAAAGAAAAAAAAGATAATTAAAAAGAAAACAATCTGAGCACCAGCAGATGGTACAACATGCTTAGCTGACTGTTTCAATGACTTTGTTCATACTAAGTGCTTGGGTTATGATAGAATAATCTATACAAGATAGCAGGTATAACCAAGATACCATTAATAACATCAAGCTGAATCCCCACAATCGCACAAAGGATGACTCTGATATGTATAGAAAAGTTTAGATTAAAGGGCTTTGCAATGAAATGAAAAGAAAACTTAAAACATTCCCAGTTGAAGCCAGGCAATGGTGACACATACCCTTAATCCTAGGACTTGGGAGGAAGATCTCTGAGTTGGAGACTAGCTTGGTCTAACAGAGTGAGTTACACAAAGAAACTCTGTCTCAAATAATCAAAAAAAAAAAAAAAAGAAGAAGAAGGAAGGGAGGAAGGAAGGAAGGAAGGAAGGAAAGAAGGAAGGAAGGAAGGAAAGGAGGAAAGAGAAATACTTGAACACTTTAGGCCACTGGGAGTGTGCCCAGAAATGGAGTTGTGGAATCCTAATGTCTTTTTTCTAACTTGTGATGTGCACAGGGGTAGACCTCATTTTAACTTCTACTATGCCCACTAGAGGCCTCAACAATGGAGCCCCAAGATCTTGGATTGGATTACAGTAACTTTAAATACTTTCTCATCATAAATTAATATCCGGGGATATCTCCTTGCAGTAAAGCAAACCTAACTAAACAATTATCTTTGGAAAGAGACAAAACAACAACAAAAACAAACAAACAAACAAACAAACAAAAACCTCTGGAGCAGAAGAGTGGCCCCTAGGGTCTGGTAGTGAGAGATCTGCTTCTGGATCTTGTCCTTATAAGGATATGCCACATGATTGTGTGTATAAATTCTCTTTACACAGTCGACTTATTCTTTTCCTATGTGACTTTGCTAAGTTTCAACGTGTCTGTCAATTCTTGTGTGGTAGATACTTAGTAACCACTGCCCCAGTATGGTTGAGTAGAAACTTAAAGAGGACTCTACGCTGGTAAACCGAGTGAGTTACAGCATGAGTGGGCATCTCTAGTTTTCCCTTTGAAGGATGGGTTTGGCCTTTTTCTTGCATGCTTTGTCTATGGGTTTGTTGAAAACAGGATCTCTCTATGTATGCCAGACTGGCTTGGAATCGCAATGATCCTCCTGTTTTGTGAGTGCTGTTTGCTTTTAGCTACTGAATGACATGTGACCAAGTACTGGCCTCCCTCCAACGTGGCCTTCCCAAGCTTCAAAACTGTAAGACAGAAATCTCTGTTCTTTATAAATTACCCAACCTTATGTATTTCCCTAGAGTAGCAAAAATAGCTTAAAATAAAAGTAACACAGTATTTAAAAGTTGTTTTT